GAGAGATAAAAGGAAGAAAGATCAGAAGGTGTTGTTCTACATCTATCGGTGTGTAGATGTGAATGTGTTTGAGAAAATCGCTAATTCGACAACGGTAAAGGCTGTGTGGGACACGCTAGTTAGTTGTTACGGTGGTGACGCATCAGTGAAGAAGGTGAAGTTTTAGTCTCTACGAAAGCAGTATGAGAATCTTAACATGAAGGACAATGAGAAGGTAGCTGAGTACATCTCCAAAGTGATTCTGATCACTAATAAAATGAAACCCTTTGGAGAAACCATTTATGAACAAGTAATCATAGAGAATATATTGAGGTCTCTTACCCCTCAATTTATTTACATTATTGCAGCAATTGAACATTCTAAAGATCTGGACACCATGAGAATAGAAGAGATGCAAAGCAGTCTAGAGGCGCAAGAGTTGCATCTGACTGAAAGAACTTTTGAGAGGGAGGTTGAACAGGCTCTAAAAGCTTCTTTTATTAAGAAGGACCAGAAGCAGAAAAGATATGGTAGGTCTCAGAAGTCAGAAACCTCCACTTCAGATGAGAAGAAATATCATAAAGGAAAGGAGAAATACGACAAGAAGAAGGTTCAATGTTACTGTTGCAAGCAATTTGGCCACTTTGCTAAAGATTGTTGGTCAAACAAGGGAAGGAAATCAGAAGAAGCAAATATATCCAGAGGAGATTTTGATGATGAACCTATGCTATTAATGGCTTCTGAGTCTGATGAAAGGTGTTTAGTAGACTGGTGGTATATGGACATTGGCTTCTCAAACCACTTGACTGGAAATAAACAAAGACTGATAGATTTTGACTACAAAAGGAGGACAAAGATCAGATGTGCTAATGATAAGTACCTTAATGCAGAAGGTATGATAAATGTCAAAGTTAAAGTGGAGAATGGGAAGAATGTTCTGATCAAGGATGTTTGGTATGTTCCTGGCATTAAAAGCAATCTGATGTGTGTGGGTTAGCTCATTGAGAAAGGTTTCTCAGTTGTTATGAAGGGTAATCTCTTGAAATTGTATGATTCCAATCAAAAGCTGATTATGTAGTATGAACAAGGAAGTAACAGAACATTCAAGGTGAATGTGGAGACAACTGAAACAGAACGCCTTAGTCTTGAAGGCGCTGAAGTTGATAGTAAACTGTAGCATAAGAGGTTTGGGCATCTGAACTACAGAAGCTTAGAGCATCTGAGTTCTAAGAAGCTCGTGCGTGGTATTCTGAAGATTGTGAAGTCTGAGAAGTAATGTGAGGTATGCATGAAAGGAAAGCAACCCAGATTTCCATTTGTATTAGAAGTAGCCCCAAGAGCTAAGCATGTTTTAGGAGTAGTACATTTTGATGTGTGTGCACCATTTCCAGAACCTCCACTTTGAGGAAATAAGCATTTTGTATCTTTTGTGGATGAATTCATAAGAATGACGTGGGTAACGCTCATCAAGTTTAAGCATGAGGTGTTTATAGAGTTACAGAAGTTCAAGGTGAAGGCTGAGAAACAAAGTGGTCAGAAGTTGAAAATTCTCATAACGAATGCTGGAAGTGAGTATAACTCTACATAATTCCAGAAGTTCTATGAGGATAATGGAATTGAGCATGAGGTTACTTCTCCTTATACTCCTCAATATAATGGTCTTGCTGAAAGAAGAAATCGTCCTTTGCTTGATATGACGAGAAGCGTGATGAAGGAGAAGAAGCTTTCTCACACCTTGTGGGGAGAAGTTGTTGCCACTGCAGCATATGTGCTCAACATATGTCCAATGAAGAAGCTGAAGAAAATTGTTCCTTTGGTGAAATGGACTGGTGATAAGCAAAGTGTGAGTCATCTCAAAGTTTTTGGTTCTGTTTGCTATAAACATGTTCCAAATGCTAAGAGGAATAAGTTGGATGATAAAAGCAAAGCGATGTTACTAGTGGGGTACCATAGTACATGTACGTACAAGCTTTATTGTCTAGAAACTAATAAAGTTGAAGTCAGAAGAGACATCATTATGAAAGAGTCAGAAGCATGGGATTGAAGGAAGTCTCAATCAAATTCTGGTGTAGTGTCAACACCTGAGCTGGCTTCTGAAGATACTTCAGAAGATGATTCTGAAGATACTTCAGAAGATGATTATGAAGATGAGTCTGAACTTGAAAGTTCTGAAGAAGAGTTAGAAGATGATTATGGAGACTCTGAAGATGAGTAAAAAACGAAGGTGATTCTGATGATGGGTCTTATTCTGATCAGGTTCTAACGATGATCCAGAATCTGGAAGGGAATACTCTGAAGACGTAGGTTCTGGTGAACAAGCTTCTAGAGGTAATCATGTTTCTGTAAGTGTTACTTCTGAAGGTAGTGGTTCTGGACGAGGTCCAGAAGCTAACACAGTTCCAGGTTCTGTAGAAGTTTCAGAACAAGTTTAGAGGCCATCAAGGATCAGACAAATACCAAGAAAATTTATAGAGTTTGATATGTTGTAAGACATCGAAGTAGGTTCCGAGAGAGAAATGGTCCAGTGTGCCATGTTAGTAGATTTTGAACCAGTGGGCACTGAAGAAGATCTCAAGAAGAAAGTATGGTTAAATTCCATGAAAGAATAACTTGATTCTATAGAAAGAAACAAGACTTAGGAGTTGACTAAGCTTCCAAACGAGAAGAAAGCCATCAACGTCAAATGGGTTTTCAAGGTGAAATTTAAGCCAGATGAATCATTTGGAAAGCACAAAGCAAGGCTAGTGGCTAGAGATTTTCTTCAGAAATCTGGGCTAAATTACTTTAAAGTGCTTGTACCTGTAGCAAGACATGAAACAATCAGACTAGTGATTATTATAGTTGTAAATAGAAATTGGCCTCTAATGCATCTGGATGTGAAGTCCGTATTTTTGAACGGTATGTTACAAGAAGAGATATATGTGTCACAACCTCTTGGATTTGTGAAAAAGAATCAGGAAGGGATGGTGTACAAATTTCATAAAGCCTTGTATGAATTAAAGCAAGCGCCCAGAGCTTGGAACTTAAAGATTGATTCATTTTTCAAGAAGCAGGGATTTCAGAAATGCTAGATGGAATATGGCATTTATGTGCAGCATTATGGAGGCAATATGATTCTGGTGTGTCTCTATGTTGATGACATATTGCTAACAGATAGTTGTTCTGAGAAGGTAGTCAAGTTCAAGAAGGTTTTGATGAATGAGTTGAGATGACTGGCCTAGGAAAGCTGGTATACTTTTTAAGGATAGAGGTATTGTACTCTGAGAAAAATGTAATTTTGTATCAGTTAAAGTATGAACTTGAGCTTCTGAAGAGATTTAAGTTGCCAAATTATAAGGCTGTTGTCACAACTTTAAAAACTAAACAAAAATTGGATTCTGATTCTAAGAGTGAGGATGTAGATGTTATAACCTTTAAATAATTGATTGGTTCTCTGAGGTATATGTGTAATACCATACCTGATATTTGCTATGTGGTTGGAATGATTAGTAGGTTCATGAGTAAACCTAAGTGGTCCCATTACCAAGTTGTTGTCAGGATTTTGAGGTATATCAAGGAAACTCTGAAATATGGAGTACTATTTCCTTCTAGAAGAAAGACTAATTCATAACTGATGAGTTATTCAAACTTTGATTGGTGTGGAGATAGAGTTGACCGGAGAAGTACTTCTGAATACTTGTTTAAGTTTCTAGGAGGTCCTATTTCTTGGTGTTTCAAGAAGCAATATGTTATTGCGATGCATTGGAGATGTTGTAGCCGCATGTCAAGTTGTTTGGCTTTTGAATCTACTACTGAAAATCAAGGCAGACAAGTCGCTGAAGCTGATGATTGATAACAAGTATGCAATCAATCTTGCCAAGAACCCAATGTTGCATGAGAGAAGCAAGCATATTGAGACAAAATATCATTTTCTGAGAAGTCGAGTCCAGAACGGAGTACTAGAAATTATGCACTGTACCACCCAGAATCAACTAGCAGATGTTCTGACAAAGGTGATCAAGACAGATCAATTATCCAATTAAGGAATGGAATTGATGTTGTTAGTTTTGATTAGAAAATCCTAAATTAAGGGATGATATTAAAGGATAATTTAGTATTCTAATATGTTGCATATGTGGTCCTAGTTTGTGTGTATAAATAGACTAGTAGTTATTGTTTTTTAAATCAATCTTATATTTTATCTTTTGTAACCGTCATTGTAGAACAATAAAACATTTTTTCTCATTCTTTCTGTATTTCATCGTCTTATGCACTAACATCTACTTTGTATTGATTAAGTACAAGTTTAAATTCTTTAACAAATAAAATACGAAATAGATAAAAAAGATAAAAAATATATTATTTAAAGAAATACTAACAAAAAATATATTAAAAAACATAATAACAAACACAAATTGACATAATTTTTTTTAAAAAAATAATAATATAGATAATCAACTAAATAAATTTAATTAAATTTCATTTTTAGAAAATATTAAAAACCGAACTAAATCACCCCATTCATATGATAGTGAACCTTAAACTACCATATTCAACTCATCTACACCTACACGGCAGATTCGCATGCTGTTTTATTCTTTGCTAGTTTCTTAATTATTATTTTTAGAAAATTATACACCTATAATAATTCTTTTGGTTTTCAATAATTCAATTTTTTATATACAATAATTGTTTTGGACCTCAATAATTTAATTTTTATTTATTAAAAAATAAATAAACAAAAACAATATTGTACGGTTCAATTGCTACAACACCGACACGTGTCCCATTGTTTTATACGCTTTTGTTTTTCTTCTGAGCCACACAAAAGAAAAAGCGAGTTTCAGGCTCCACCTTCTCTATATATCCACCCTTTCCATAATCCATTTCCTCACTCATCCAACTTCAAAAAAAAATCACTTTTTTCATCCAACCCAACAAAATTCTACACGAATTCTCAACTGGGTATTCTGAAAAGTTTCGAGTTTTGATTTTTTTTGAACCAGTTTTTGCTGTGATTATTACAAAGTTTGTTATTTCCAATGGAACTTTCTGTTATTGGTGGCTCTCGAGTGAAGTTGGGAAGAACCGATTTTGCTTGTAGAGAATTGGGTTATGTTGTTCTGAATAATGATTGTAGATTTTCAAAGGGTGGAGTTTGTTTTGGTCAGAATTTAAGATTGAAGAAAAGTGGAAAGGGAATGAGTTTGAAAGCTGTTCATGCTGAACCAATCAGAGAGATGAAGAAGAAGAAGAAGCCTTCTGGATCTGGAACAAGATCGAAGCAGGTTGTGTTTTCTTTCTTTGCTTACTTTTTTTGAAAATTTTATTTTTGTTAATATATATGTTGATGTTGATTTTGGTTGGTGAGAAAGTATGAAGAAAGACAAATTAGTTTTTTTATTTTTATTTATTTTTAGTCTTGTGGTTTTAATGAAAAGTTGAAAGTTAACTAAGATGGTGAAAATGATGTATAATATTGCAGGTAGATGGTGTGAGATTATTTGTGGGATTACCCTTAGATACAGTTTCTCATGATTGCAATTCAATAAACCATTCAAGAGCAATTGCAGCAGGGTTGAAAGCTTTGAAGCTATTAGGAGTTGAAGGTGTTGAGCTACCTATTTGGTGGGGAATTGTTGAGAAAGAAGCTATGGGAAAATATGATTGGTCTGGTTATCTTTCTATTGCTGAGATGATTCAGAAAGTGGGTCTTAAGCTTCATGTTACACTTTGTTTTCATGGTTCTAAGAAACCGAATATCCCTTTACCTAAATGGGTTTCTGAGATCGGTGAATCGCAGTCGAGTATTTACTTTACCGATCGGTCGGGTCAGTGTTACAAAGAATGTTTGTCGCTCGCGGTTGATAATCTTAATGTTCTTAATGGAAAGACTCCGCTTCAAGTTTACCGGAGTTTCTGTGAGAGCTTCAAGTTCTCGTTTGCCTCGTTCATGAAGTCTACAATTACGGTACGATTTCACAACATAGATCAATAAGTTTACATTTAATAGCATAAACGTTTATCATAAGTTATTCCAGAGAGTTAATGGAAATAAGTTGAGAACAGTTAGATATAATCGAATGGATCCTAAATATGTTGCTATATTGCATTGCAGGGAATTTCCATGGGATTAGGACCGGATGGTGAGCTTCGATATCCGTCTCATCACGAGCAACCAACCGACGGTATAACTCGAGGAATAGGAGAATTTCAGTGCTATGATCAAAACATGCTAAGTTTACTCAAACAACATGCTGAATCATCTGGAAATCCTTTATGGGGACTCGGCGGTCCACACGACGTGCCTACCTATAACCAATCACCATACTCGAATAGCTTCTTCAAGGATGGTGGTTCTTGGGAGTCTTCATATGGTGACTTCTTCCTTTCATGGTATTCTTCTCAGCTCATAGAACATGGAGATTCCCTCCTTTCATTGGCAGATTCTACATTCGGAGACACCGGAGTTTCAATATACGGAAAAATCCCGCTTATGCACTCTTGGTATGGAACTCGGTCCCGTCCGTCCGAGCAAACAGCGGGATTCTATAACACAGCCAAGAGGGATGGTTACGAACAAGTAGCAAAGACGTTTGCTAAAAACTCGTGCAAAATCATATTACCCGGAATGGATCTTTCAGATGCAAATCAACCAAATGAAACTCATTCGAGTCCCGAGTTGTTACTTTCACAAACTATGGCTGCTTTCAGAAAGCATGATGTGAAGGTTTCAGGTCAAAACTCATCAGAGTTTGGTGTTCCAGGCGGTTTCGAACAAATGAAGAAGAATTTATCAGGAGATCATGTACTTGACTTGTTCTCATATCAAAGAATGGGAGCATATTTCTTTTCTCCAGAGCATTTTCCTTCGTTCACCGAGTTAGTTCGGAGCCTTAATCAACCGAAACTCCATTTAGATGATCTCCCTACCGAGGAAGAAGAAGGCGCTGAATCTGCAATTATGAGCCAAGAAACAAATGTGAGCATGCAGGCAGTGTAAATTTGTGATGATAATTGTGTATATAACAATTAGTAGTTGTGTTGTAAAGTAATTGTTAAGCACAAATGAGGATGCATATTACTGTTTCAACCTCAAGTAGAGTTTACAATGAATGATTGTGAAGTAGATGAGGATTTATGAGAGATGAAATTTTAGTAATATGTTTGTTTTAGATTGCACAAGGCCTCTAAAACTAAGTCTAAGGAACAAATGAGTGTTTTTTGTTAAAACTAAGTCTAAATCAAATGGACTATTGGTTGTATGTAGCTTACTATATTAAGAACTCATTTATGTAAACTTGGATTAAAATACTCTCATTAATCTTTGGATGCTATCATTGATTATTTTATAAATTTCCATATTTTTTCTAACTATTGTCAATAATGATGTTCCAACTATTCACTATAACAACCTCATAAAAAGTGAATGTTAACATATCTTCTGCAAATAAATGTCAGTTTTATTAGTAAATAAGGTAGCATTAGACAGAATAGTGTAGGAAAAAAATTATCATTTATTTGAAGTTGCTCTCTAGCTCTCCTCTTTTCAATGATTAACTTCCATGTTTTATCAGGAAGAAGTAATACCTGATTAATAGTGTCTCACTTTGGTCTTAGAAAGTGTTAGTCATGTTTAGTTTAGGCTCTCATGTTTTTCTTATGTTCCTTGCTTTGAGAATCTCGAGTGTTTGATTGTGTTGCTGTTGTTTTTGAGAATCTCCGTGTTGCTTTTGTTTATGTTAACATGTAATATCATAATAAGTCCAATTTATTATGATATTATATAGGTGGTTCTCAAACTTATGATACGTGTGAAATTGATCTCAATGGTTTACCTATTAATTTGAGAAATTAACAAATATCTTGTGCCTCTAAATATAGATATTTTTTATCAACTTAACTCATAAAAACATCTTTCTGCAATATAAAAGTTTTATTGTAATTGCTTCTATGAGAATTTTATCATATAGTTGTAAGATATTTGGGTATGATAATCCTGGATAACTTCGAAGAATCGTGTTCGTATATTTTCCGAACAAAGTATTTCGACCCTATTCTTGTCTGGGTTCACGAAATCTTTGTGGGGATAATTCTCAAAGAACAATCTGTTTCTGGCAAAAGAAACTGATTACAAATATAGAGAGGAAGTGACGTTTTTCCATTATTGAAACCGAGGCCAAATGACTCCTTATATAGGAGATCAATAACTGAAACCGAAAAGACACACCTGTTTCGAAAAACGGTTATGTCGATTAGGGAAAAGGATTCAAAATTTTCGAACGGGGAGCTGTCCCGCACCCCGCCCGCTGACCTGTCAGTGGGACCCCAGCTAGGGGCTCCGCCCCTTGGACCTCAACGGGGCGCTGCCCCGCACCCCGCCAGGGGCTTCGCCCCTTGGAACCCCAACGGGGCGCTGCCCCATACCCCGCCAGGGGCTTCGCCCCTTGGAATCCCGTTTCAATTATTCATATTCAATTATGCATTGGCTCGACGAGCGTGCACTCCGCACTTCCCTAACTCGTTTCCGAACTTAACGCATAATTGCATCGGCCTTTAGTAAATCACATTACTACTAAAATACATTGGTGATACTAAAATCACCAACAATAGTTATGAGCAAGGAAATGAAAGAGAATTTAATATGTCATTTAGGGTTTATGTGACACACTCTCAAAGGATATGAAAAGACTAAATTGTCTAAAATCAAAAGATATTTAAAAATTCTAAATTTTTAATATTACACAGGATTTTTGAAATTCATTAGGTGATATCGGAAATTTTGTGTAACAGTAAGGATTTATGGTAGATTTGTGTAATTTCCAGTATTTGTATTTATCATTTGGACCGGAAATTTTGATATTTCCAGAGCTTTGCACCATGTATCGGAAGTTTCAAAATTTCCGGTAGTTCAATTTTTTTTTTTAAAATATCGGAAATTTCAAAATTTTTGATAGTTTATATTTGCCTAATTTTCCCTCTTTTTATTAATTGTTTCAGTGAGGACCAGGAGCAAAGATGGTTCTGTTACGTGCGGGGTGGTCGATTGAGCGGAAGCTCAGGCCTCGACTGACGAGGCACATGCTTCCAAACTACGTGTTGGACGATGTGCTATGACTGATTCTCACCGGAAACAGTTGGCTTAGTAGCAGGCGCAGTTCTGCACATCTCACCGTCGAGGACTTAGAGATTCTACTATCGAGGAGGTACATGCTTCTCCTATTGTGGATGTGCATGTTCCCGAGCAGACTATAGAGGAGGTTGTACATGTTGTGAGTCGACTCCATAGCAGGTTGTTGAGCCTATTCTGAGCAGGTTGTGGAGTCGGTTGTCGAACGGGTTGTGGAGCCGATTGTCGAGTAGGTTGTGGAGCCGGAG